CTTTCTTTCTTTCTTTCTTTCTTTCTTTCTTTCTTTTTTTACTTATTTGTTTGAGAGAGAGAGCACATGAGCTGGAGGGAGAGGGAGAGAGAATCGAAGCGGACTCTGCACTGAGCGCAGAGCCTGATGTGGGGCTCAGTCTTGGGACAGCAAAATCATGAACTGAGCTGAAACCAAGAGTCAGATACTTAAGCCACCCAGGCGCCCCAACAAGTATAGTTTTCTTATGGATTACTTGTTTTTTGGCAGAACTTTAAGAAGTTTTGTGGAACTGTTCAATCTGTTGAAATTGTCTTTCAGTTTCCAAAACTCTTACAAATAGCAAGCTGGTACTTTTTATTTTGGTAGCATTTTTTCCCCTGTGGCAGTATAGTGTACCTAGAATCATGGGCTCTTGCTCTTACGGTACCAGTCTTCATTTTCTTACTTGGGCTGGAATGAGGGATAATGAGTAATGAGGAATAAAGCTGAATAGAGAACAGAATGAAAACTGGGGTCTTGTTATGTGATGAGAAGTAGTATTTGTAAAACTTCCAAATGAAATTTCCCTTGTGTTGGGGGCACCTGGGTGGCTCAGTCGTTAAGTGTCTGCCTTCGGCTCAGGTCATGGTCCCAGGGTCCTGGGATCGAGCCCCGCATCAGGCTCCCTGTTCAGCGGGGAGCCTGCTTCTCCCTCTCCCACTCCCCCTGCTTGTGTTCCCTCTCTCACTGTCTCTCTGTCAAATGGATGAATAAAATCTTTAAAAAAAAGAAAGAAAAAAATTTCCCTTGTGTTTGTGAAGCTAAATCCAATACACATACCTCTTCTCATTTTTCTTCCTTGTATTTCTGTATTTCTCTTGTGTTTTTAATTTCCTTATCCCACATAGTCTTACTCTTCCTTAGAAAAAGCAGCAGCACTGAAGGGTAGACTCAGCATTTTGAGCTTTTCATTTATTTTTGACTTTTCTGGTTCTTCAGCCTCCTGTTTGAGGTTATAGGGAGAAGCTGTAGTGAATGGAAGACAAGGATAAGGCCTTAGTGTCCCATCGTCGTCCCTTTCTAGAGTCTGTTTATTGAACTACTGTATCAAACCACAAGAAGGTGGGGCGCCTGGGCAGCTCAGTCATTAAGTGCAATGCGCTGGGCTCAGGTCATAGTCCCGGGGTCCTGGGATTGAGCCCCACATCGGGCTCCCTGCTCCGCGGGAAGCCTGCTTCTCCTTCTGCTGTTCCCCCTGCTTGTTCTCTCTCTCTCTCTCATACTCTTTCTGTCAAATAAAATAAAATCCTACCAAAAAAAAAAACCCCACACAAGAAGAACAGGAATTACTTTACTTCGTATCTGCCTTTGCCAGAGAAGGGTAGAAGCAGCAAGATTTTTTCTAGTCACCGAAGATTATAATCTCTTTCCATAAGATGTTTTTTTTTTTTTATAAATCCTTTATATTTTCTACAGAAATGAAAAACAAATCCCTTTCAAAAATTAATGAAATGTAGTTTCATATTATTATTTTAGAGAAAGCATTAAATATCTACATATACATCTACTGTGGTTTCAGTGCAAGGATATTGATGGTCAGTGAATAATCAAACTGGAATTGATTAGAAAGAAAAACGTCAGTATTACCTTAGGAGTGTGGCTAGGAGTACAATTATTATAAACCTTTCTGGATCTTAAAAATAGTCCATATCCTTTAACCCAACAAATTCAGGCCTATACTAAATATATAAGGATATATGCAAAGATTTACTTCTTTGAGTATTCTTCACAGTATTATTTATAACAACAAAATTGGAAGTAACTAAAATATCTTTCAGTGTGAGATTGGTTTTTACGATAAAATTATATTTCTGTACATTCTGCAGTAAAAAGCATTGTCATTGATAAATACCTATTGACATGGAAAGATATACTATGTCATGAAAAGCAGAGGATATGACAGTATAATCTTATTTTTGTTGATAAAAAGAATATCTTCAAAGAAATAGGTCTAACACAGTTAAAAATCAGAGTGACCATTTCTGATATGTTAATTTTTTGAGTCGCAGCTCACCTGTTAGTTCTTCAATTTCAGTTTCTGAGTAGGCCAGCTGGCATTTTCTGTTCCATGGCCACTGACTACAGATGCAGCTTCTACTCTGGAAAATGCTTGCTGTTCTTCAACAAATTTTTATTGACTATTTATTCCTTGTCAAGCATTCTGAAATGAATAAAATACAGTATTTTCCCTTGAATGGGTCATCATCAATTTGTTTTTCCTAATAAGAAAAACAACTTTACTGTCAGAAAAAAAAATTTACATTTATTTTCTATCTGTCATTGTTTGGAATGAGATTTTTTAGCATTTATCACACTAAGCAATTATATTGGGCAAACATGTAAGTTGACTCCAAAAAAGTTTAGATAGATGTATTGACGAGAGATCCATGGTCTGAATGTAACAATGTTTCAGATTCTTCTTCTTTTTTTTTTTTTTTTAAGATAGTCGCAGGGCTGGATCTCACCATCCTGAGATCATGACCTGAGCCGAAATCAAGAGTCACATGCTTAACCGATTGAGCCCCTGTTCCACACTATTCTAATCTTATTTCCTACTGCCCTCCAAAAATCGTTTTCTGCCACCTTGATCAGATTGCCCCTTTCATTCTTCCATTGTGTATCCTTCTCATTCCTTTTGCCTGTCTTAATTCACACTGTCCTACCGACCTGACTTAGTCTTCCTTTTTTGCTTGGGCCTATCCATCCTTCCTTAGGTGCCAGTTTAAGTCCCAGCTTCTCCATAAAGCCTTTTCAGTCTACCACCACCCAAACTAGTCTACTTTTCTAAACTCTTCTGTTCCTTACCTATTTCATATAATTTTGGATTCAATTATATGCCATCTTATATTGCTTGCTATTTTCCATGTGCTTAGCTTTGTCTCCCTAATAGATTGAAGTCTCTTTGAAGGAGAAAATTACACCTTCTGCTCCATTTTCTTTGTGCTAGTATTGTGTTTGGGCACAGTTCAGTAAAAATTTTTTAATTGTTTTGGGGTTATGTCGAATCTTTGAAGGTGATTTCTGTGTTCTGGTGTTTCATCAGTATACTGTGTTATGTGGACCAAATGCCTATGGTCAGTTCTTAGTCACACCTTTGTTAGCATGGACACTAATTTCTGAAGCTTTCTCTGTGGTTTACAAATGATACTCTGAAAATAGAGTTTGACCTGCTTTATATAGTCACACATGCAAGAGAAGAAATAGCACCTTTTTGTTTGTTTCAGACATAACATTATAAAGGAAACATTATAGAGGAAAGGTGACAAGTCTTGATAGGATTCAGTCCACGTCATTTATTTGGTAGTCCTGTGTCTGGTCGTCAGCCTCTGTTGCTTATCTTTTGAGCCTCTCTGTGTGTATATAAAAAGAGCTACATTTAATAAACAGGCCGTGGGTGCTACATGAAGTGGACATTTAACTGGTATGAACTTGTCAGTTGCAATGGGAGTTCTTTATTACTCCCCAGGGGAACACACAAAATTGTACCAAGTCAGAAGGATTTGCTCTGGGGTTCCTTGGGCAAATTTGAAAAATGCTCTTACTTGGATTTGTTATTTATACAACAAAGTATCTGATTTCACTCACCTTCTAAGAAGAAACCAACAAACAAGAGCAATAGGGACTAGTTTATGTTTACATTGTTTTTTTTATGTTTACATTGTTTTTATTTGCATTTTCTAGGATAATTATTAAGATTTTTTTCATTTGATTAATGTACATAAGCAAATGAAAATATGTGATTTTGTTTATGAGTGTGTTTTTATTTCAGTCATATCGTGCTTCAAAGCAGGCTCCTGACCTTGCCTGAGTGCTTTCTTCTACTTAGATTTTAATTAAGGCTTGGGCTCTTCCAAAATTGAGAAATTATTTTGCTTTGTAATTGAGTTTTCAACAGAAGCCTATAACATGTGAAACAGAATTGTCCTAGCACCAAAATTACGAATTGACTAAATTTTTATGAGGTGTGTAAGGGACTTTCCCTAATATTATGAAGCCCTATCAGCCTAGTTATTACGAGAATTAAGGAATTCCTCCTCCCATTTTCCCATGGTGAATATTTTTCATTGTATATAAAGAACCTTTTAAAATATGAATAGAAAATGTGCTAAATTTAAAAAGTAATTTATGTTCCTAAATGCATGCTTAAAAGCATCGAAGAATATTAAAGTGCTTTTCTTCTCTATCAGGAAGCATTCAGAATTGTCTGAATTGAATGTAAAAGTCTTGGAAGCCCTGGAACTATACAACAAGTTGGTGAATGAAGCACCAGTATATCCAGTCTATTCAAAGCTCCATCCTCCAGCACATTACCCACCCTCATCAGCTGGGGTTCCAATGCAGGTGAGCATATTTTTGAGAACATTTTTCAAAATTAGAAAAAAGTTTTAAATTCAAAAAAATGTTTAAAGCTTAGTATTAAAATTTCTATGGTCCATGAATAAAATCATAAAATTCATCTTTGATGGTCCAAAAAGTATGGGCTAAACAATTAGCATTCACCAGGACAAATTAGATATAGCTATTGTACAAATCATTTTAGTTCATTTTTAACATGAACAAAGAGACCATTAAATAGATGATGGGAGTTCTGGTTCTTCATTTGCTTTTGTAAATATAAAGCATAAATCCTTTAAGTAAAAATTCAAGTCCTCTAATTTAGGACAGTGCCTGACCTATTGAAAGTCCTCTAGATGAGGTACCGATGCTGTTCCTGTTGCTCAACAAGCAAGATTTAACATTTGTTTTTAAAAATTTCTGTCAATGGGGCACCTGGGTGGCTCAGTGGGTTAAGGGACTACCTTCGGCCCAGGTCGTGATTCCAGGGTCCTGGGATTGAGCCTCGCATCAGGCTCCCTGCTTGGCAGGAAGCCTGCTTCTCTCTCTCTCACTTCCCTTACTGTGTTCCCTCTCTCTCTCTCTCTCTCTCTCTCTCTCTGTCAGTTAAATAAATAAAATCTTAAAAGAACAAATAAACAAAAATTTCTATTCAGATTTCTTTGACTTACATGATTAGCAAAAGGCTTATTAGTTAGTGAACTTCTTTTGTCCTCAGATCATGCTATATATTTTTTCTTTGATGCGACTTAAATTGTTAAAAATTCAAGCACAACAAGGATGTGATGCAGGCCTGTGAGTGCAGGCAGGGTCCAGAAGCCGTTAATGAATAGCCTCTTTTCCCGGGACTTTCCACCTTCTCTGTGCTTCCTGCTGAAGTGAATACTTAACATTTATCACTATCAAGTATTCTGAAGCCTTTTTCAAATTTCAACCAGTTAGGAATTGAATTCAGAATGAATTTGGACGAACAAAATTCATGTTAATTTATGAGAACTAATATGTAAAGGAGTGTGTGAAGGAGACACCAAGGAGAAAAGATAGAATGTGGGTGCATAAGCTAGATGACTTGACACGACATAATTGTTAAGTAAAAAAGAAGAGTTTCTATGGTAACTGTCACATCAGACAAGATGCATTTATCAAATATGCCACGTCCCGAATTTTTGGAAAATGGTGAAAAGAATCATTACATATGAGGGTAGAAAGGATTTCTGGGTGCAAAAGACAGCTGGGGTTTATTCAGTATTGCTTCTGTTTTCAGTGAGTTTATTTGCGGCTACTGTGAAAGTAGAACAAAATAGAAGTGTCTCCACCATTGAATGATAGAACTATGTTATATTTGCTTCTTTGTGTGTCTCTAAAGGGTTATTTGTCATTCCTATGTCAGGTTTTTGTGTTTAGTTGTATACTATTTATAATCTGTTTTGCTAAGCATAACTCAGGTTTCTAAAAAGTTAGCTTTCTCGTTCTTCACATAACTTCTATATATACTATTCATGCATAACAGCATTTAAAATATTCAAAGGTCCTATTCTAATTAGGAAAAAAAATTCTGTCCTAAAAATGTTGGAGTAACAACATAACTCATAACACTATGAGTTAAATCTGTGAAGTCTACTCAGGAACCCTGCACTGCAGAAGAGGTCCATTCCCAGGCTCAGCCTGTTGTCAGTGGGTTGGTACATGTTGGCCAAGGAGGTGATATGATTGCAACTACCTTAAAGTTGATTTGGCACTTCAGCATGCTAAATTTTCATGTCCATGGTCTTTTTTTTTTTTTTTTTTAAGATTTATTTAATTTGACAGAGAGAGAACACAAGCAGAGGGAGAGGGAGAAGCAGGCTTCCCACTGACCAGGGAACCTGACATGGGCCTCGATCCCAGGACCCTAACTGAGCCACCTAGGCAGATGCTTAACTGACTGAGCCACCTAGGCGCCACTCCATGGTCTTTGCTTTACAAATAGCTTGTTTAAATCTGGAGTGATGATAGCTACTCTATGATACTTAATAAGCGTTTGCATTGTTATATTGGTAGGCAGATGGTAGACCTTGTTCTTAAAGGAGATATTACCCTGAACATTAGGTAGGGCATGTAAAATATTCAAAGAAACTTAGACCATTTTGCTATTTCCTGAGGATACATCTCCTTTACCTAAAAATCTTCTTTACTTTTTTCCTATCTGTTGTAAAGGCAGAAAATAAAGGAGTCATTGCCAGAGAGGGTCTGCACCCTGCCCTGATACCATTTATTTTTATTCTCCCAAGTTTCATTCTTAGGAAGGAGTTGAATAAGTCATCCTGGGATAGGGGTGAAGAAGGTTGTCATTGGGTTGGTGACTTGAAATGATGATGGGCTGCCCTTCAAGGGAGTATGTAGTTTCCTGGGGCTCTGTGGCAAGACATGTTACTGAGTAATAGGCAACCTGGATGGATTCCAGCCTGCTGCTTAAAAATATGCCACGTCCTGCAAAATAAAAGAACAATCAAATAAATCATAAATTTCCATAGATTTGGCACTGTGATTTGGAAGCCCTCCACTTTTTGTACTAGGGTGGATGGACTGGTAGAACCAGATTGCTCCCCAAAGAACTATAACATTTTATTTTATTTAAGTCTTTTAAAGTATTAAATATATTGTTAGATAGGTGTTTGGGAAATCAGTGAGTCAACTTTTTCTCTTTGGTTAATAGACATACCCAGTTCAGTCACATGGTGGAAACTATATGGGTCAAAGCATTCACCAAGTCACTGTTGCCCAAAGCTACAGCGTAGGACCAGATCATATTGGTCCACTGAGATCTCTGCCTCCAAATGTCAATTCCTCGGTGACAACACAGCCTGCACAGACTCCATATTTAAGGTAAGTTTTTGGGAGCTGTGTTAATTTTGTAATTATATACATTAGATTTTCACAGAATCTCATGAGAATAAATTGGCTTTTCTTTTTATAATAATAATAATTGAGATGAAGTTGTAGAACTTCTCATTCCCAGTGCCATGAAGTCCATAATGCTCTTAGCTTTACTACTCCTACTAAAATGGTTGCCCAGACATGGCTTATAGTCTGGGTCTCTGGGACAAACTAAAGCTAACTGTCCCTTACCAGGGACCAAGCCCATGATATACTTAGCACAGGGCTGTAATCAGCCTAGCAGAGTAGTCCCAGGCATATTTATCTTCATGCACTCCTGAATATCAAAACTTTACTTGATTCCCAAGTGCATTTGAGCTGTGGAATCTGTGGTCTAATTTTTTTTTTTTTCTTTTTTTGGAGAGTGAGAGAGCCCTGGGCGGGGGGTGGGGGTGGAGGGAGAGAGAGAATCTCAAGCACACTCCATGCTGGGCATGGAGCCATATATGGGGCTCCATCTCACGACGCTGAGATCATGACCTGAGCCTGAATCAAGAGTCTGATGCTTAATTGACTGAGCCACCCAGGCACTCCTGTGGCCTAATTTTTTATAGTAACACTTCTGTTCTGAAAATGATTTTTAAATATTGCTTTCTATTAACTGCTTAACCATACAAAATGTTCAATATAGTCATGGTAGATGATCTTTAAGGTTTTCCCACTCAAATTTCATGAGTGTAAATTTTAGATATTATCCAAAAATTAAGTAAACCTGTTCACATTGGTGTTTAGTTCAGTTAAAATGTAAAATTTTGTTATTCTGTTTGACACTAGAAATTATGGAGGAGAAAAACTGGAGCAGTATAGACATTAATCCTCATAAGCAGTGTATTTGATATAATTTGAAATTATATTATCTTTTTAAAAAATATGTTATAGTAATTACAGGAATAAGCAGAAGCTCTGCAATTTGGTGTAATTTTTCAACTTGTTTTTTTTGTTTTGGTGTACTGTTAATAAGTAAACTATAGGTCAAGACTATCTTGAGGGTAGATTCAGGGTCCTCTGTGGATTACACTGTTCTCCCTGACTTTATTATTTTTATGTAGAGATTCAGGTTAAGTTACCAGGGGCAGCTTTGAAAGTGCCCTGTCAAAGGAAAGTATAGTGTGTGTGAGGAAAAGAGGTGGTCTCTGTGCTGGATTGAGAGCTGGGAGAAGGGAGAATACAGTCCGCAGGTGTACTTTGGGCGGTTCTGTGCTCATTGTAGCTGGCCAAGGATACCACTGTGAAAAGCACAATCTGCATCTCCTCAAAAGGTTTTTAAATATTTGCAGTAAGAGATTTTGGAGAAAACAAAATTAAATAGGCCTTATAATCTTATCTTTTGTTTCTTTTATGAGTACTTCTCACCAAATATAAAAATTATATTAAGTGTTGGACAGTTGGAGTAATTATTATATAAACTTCAAAGCTAGAAAAGGCATTTTTATTGTTTCATGATGATTGATCACTGACCATGACCTAGATAATGCAAAGTAAATATGGTTTTCTTTTTAAAATTTTGTTTGTAGCACTGGACAAGACACTGTTTCCAACCCTACTTATATGAACCAGAACTCTAACCTTCAATCAGCTACTGGTGCAGCTGCTTATACACAACAGATGGGGATGTCTGTGGATATGTCATCTTACCAGAACGCTGCTTCCGGTTTGCCACAACTGGCCGGCTTTCCAGTGGCAGTTCCAGCTCATTCAGTTGCACAGCAGCAAACAAATTACCATCAGCAGCCTCTTCTTTAGAACAAACCAAGCATTTTCTTGAAAGCCTTCATATGTGTATTACTTGACCCTTGCGATTCTAATCTGAAAATATTAAGAGAAAAAAATTTTTTTTTCTCAACTCAAGTGAACCACGAATAAAGCACAAAAACTTACCTTACTCTGCTAGGCCATGAAAGGACTTTTGCAATCCAATTTGTTTGAAGTCCAACTTCTGATCAGAGGCAGCTTCAGGTAGCTTCCAGTTAATTTTGTCTTACTTTCAAATCTCTCTACACAAATCTGGACACCCGAGTAAGTAGCCTTATGACACTAAACAGCATGAGATAGGAGTATTACATTTTTGCTTTGAAGAAACCACTCTTTATCCCTAGAACATCATGATAATTGGGGGAGCACCAAAACCTTTGACTGTGTTTTTTGTCTGCTTATTTTTTTCAGTATTCGCCACAAACCATTATCTCAAAAGGCGGACTTCTTTTTGGGTGAGCATTTAGCTTGCTAGCATAGTTCTTTGGCTCCTTAAATTGCAGTTGTGTTTGCAGTACTGTCAGTTTTGCTCTCTGTTATGTTGAGTAATAATTAGCATATAATTGTCTTTAGAAGCAAGAACAATTTGGAAGGAACAAAAATGTTTTCTGTTATTAACGGGGAAGACCATATAAATGCACGTGTGTGATAAAGCATTTAGCTAGTCCCCTGTCATGCCAGCTGTGGGCTAAGGAATACCCCACAAAACATTTCCATTCCCTGAAGACAAACATTTTCCTTACAAGGCTCCCTTGTATTTAGAATTGCCACTAATGACCTTCTAAAGTGACTTTGGCCATTCTCTAATGAAAATAATAAGGTCCACTTCTTTTCCTTCCTGAAGTGTGGTGTGCAGAGATGCTGCATTTTCTTTTTACGGATTGCTTGTGAATTTGAGCCATGAGCCATTCCTCGTAATTTGATGTGATATATCCCAAGCATGAATAATAAGTGTTTTTTTATAGATGTGTTGTTTCTTTAAAGAGGTAATTCAAGTACCATTGCTATGCCAGGCTGTTGAGAAATTTGGCCATCCCTTTCAGAGAGAATTCTGAGCCTGTGGGATAATAGCAGGCAATGGATTGATAGGGAAGCTATCAAGACAGTTTTTCTGAAGCCTACATTTTATAAATTAGTTTACAGTGCTAATAGAGTCCACATACTATAGGAATTAGGTAGTAAACCAGTAGGGATTGTTTTCTCCTAAAAATTCATACACTACTGCATCATCTACCAACTTTCTGGATAACACAAAATAGAAGATGGCGAATATATATGCTTACAGATACACAGTACTTAGACTGGGAAAAAACAAAGGACATAAGTGAAGTTACTTCCCTGGGAGCAAGATTTCTAAATTGTTTTTTAAAAAGAACCCTTAATCTTTCTTCTAAGAATTCATTTGAAGACAGTGCTCTGGTAATTTTTGTCATTTATCTATTTACAGAAATTTAATTACAAGTATGTTCTCTTTTCAAAGAAACTGTGTCCTAAAATAAAATAGTCTATATACTGCTTGGTCTACACTTAAAGGAAAAAACAACAGTATTTGAAAGCCCAGTTTCTGTCATTGTCTTATTTCAGATATAAGTAACTGAAAGGGTTTTAACCTTGAATGTCTCATATTCTTTATTTCATCCAGTATTTTCCTTCCATGTGAATTCAATTACACACTTATAAAAAAATTCTAAAATGGTACCTTATTTTTTGGGAAATGAATCTTCTGTTCTTTAAAGAAAAAACATAAAAAGCATTTATAAAGCTGCTCTTGATAATGTTTGCATATATTTCGAAGATCTTACATTTTTCCCTCCCAAACAGTATTTAATAAGGTTATTTTAATGTTTGTGTAAATATTTCATGTATAATTGTGATCTGAATTGTAAAAGCTTAACTCTGCATAAGTCTTTGAACTCTATAAATACTGCACACCCTCTAAATTGGGATCAGCCAATTAGGTTCACCAAATGTAGTTTGGGAATAATATAACATGCGACCTGTATATAAATCGTGTATATTGGCATTTATCTGTGAAATTTTATACATCCAGAAGTTTCTTCTCCCTCTTAAATTAAAAACAATTTTATTTTGGCCACACTGTATAATGAATTTTGTGTTGCAGCTTGTTAATAGTATAAAAATGTTACTAAATCTGTATACTAAGATGGTATTTTTGGTGTTAATAGGAAATAACAGGGTTGTTATTTTTCTTTCTTTTCCATGATCTTATGGGTTGTATTTATTTTAAGACCTCTTTATAATTAAATGTTTTCTGCCAAAGGAATTGTCTAATATCAGATTTCTACATTGGGTTCATACTTGCTGTTTTATAAAAAAAATAAAAACAACTTCTATTTCAAGTGAAATCTCCGTACATTAGAAAAATTTTCTGAAAATTTGTAATAAAATCACTTTTCATCAATGTAGAAAGAATTTCCCTTGGGTGTTAATTAAAACAGAGGAAGCAGGATGTGTTCTTATAGTTTGGAAAATGTACAGTCTACCAACATTGTCTTATAATTTGGTAATCTACAAAATTACCTGAACATTAAATAATTATACTACTTATCAATTAGGATTTGAAATTATTTGCAAATACACTGTCATCTGATGTTACTTCAAGTAGTTGATATTTGACCACATAACAAATTTCACTGTACTTTTGAAGATGATTTAAAGTTTCGCCTTCCAAATTTTTTAAACATTTTGAATGTTAAAAATATTATGGCTTAGGTATTTTTTCTTAGTAAAAATCATAAGTGTCTAGTCTTTTGGCTTCTAGGAGAGGATTTACTGAATTGTTATGAGAAAGCTCAAGTTATTTTTGTAAGTAATAAATTATAAATAATATAGCACCAATCTAACATGCTTTCTTTTTGTGAGAAGACGTTTTTCTTATTTACTTACATCAGTTTTAGTCAATAAGTAAAGGGAGGACTCAATTCCAGGGATTTAATTTTTTTGTTGTTAGTACAATTTAGTTTCTTTTGGAGATTAAAGATTTAGATTTTTTTTTTAAGTTTTTCCCAGAAGAATATGAGACACCAAGCTCAATTTGAGTTCGAGTTTTCCAAAAACCTCACTGTGTCAAAAAGAGAAATTATGTTTCTTCTTACAAAGTGTAGTGGGAGGAATCGTGTCCCCCCCCTTCCCAAATTCATGTTTGCCTGGATTGTCAGGATGTGACCCTATTTGGAAAAAGAGTTTGCAGATGTAATTAGTTAAGGATCTCAAGGTGAGATCATCCTGGATTTAAGGTGTCCTTAAGAGAAATACACACAGCAAGCAGGGCATGTGAAGATGGAGGCAGAGCCTGGAGTGATGCTGCCACAAGTCAGGGATGGCCGGGGGCCACCAGAAGCTGGAAGAAGCATGGAAGGATTCCCTTCCAGAGCCTTCAGAGGGAACACAGCCCAGTTGACACCTTGATTTCAGATTTCTAACCTCTAAACCTGAGAGAAGACATTTATGTTGTTTAAACCACTAAGTACGTTTCGACAGCCCTAGGAAACTAATAAATATGGATAATAGTGTACAGCAAAATCTGAGTACCAACCATTTCCAACTTTTATAAGACTGGTTAAGTTTGGCACAAGAGTTCAGAGACAAATGTCTGTAGTCCAGTAGTAGCAATCTTACTATCTTTTCTGAATTCTAATGAAATTGCATGGATTAATGAAACTAAGATCCCTCTTGGTTCCATAATCCCATTTTTACTGTTTTTTTTTTAACATCGCATCTCAATAATTTCCTATGCCAGAGATATTAACAGTATTACGATTTATGCCTTTACTAGCCACTCTTCTGTCCATCTTGAGTAGTGGATATTGACTGGAGAAACGTTCAAAGGCAAGCAGAGGAACAGAAAAAACTGGTGGATGAGTATTTCCCACAAAGGCTCCTAAAGAATGGAGTTTGCTTTTCTTATTTTACACCATTTGCTATCCTGATGAGGAAAAGAAAGGCTTTCCAATACCTTTACAGCAAGTCAGTGACCTCCACTGATTACCTGTTGGTCTAGGGAGCCAGCTACCTTTTTTTAAATAAGTGAACTCACATAAAACTAGCCGTCTTAAAGTGAACAACTCAGTAGCATTTAGTACGTTTACAATGTTGTGAAACCACTACCTCTAGTTCCAAAATTGACCTTTTGTGTCTGCTTTCACTTAGCGTATGTTTTTTGAGCTTTATCTCCACATACACCACAGTATATATATGAGGTTCATATCATAATACCACAGTTTATCCATTCATCTGTTGGTGGATACTTGGGTTGTTTTTTTTCATCTTTTGGTTATGTGAATAGTACTGCTAGGAAAGTGTGTGAATATGTATTTGAGTACTAGTTTTCAGTTCTCTTGGATATTTACAAGAGTGGAATTAGTGGGTCAAATGGCAATTCTATGTTCAATTTCTTGAGGAATTATCAAAATCCCACAGCTGAACCATTTTATGTTCCCTACAGCAATGCAGAAGAGTTCCGATTTATGTCCTCACCAGCACTTCTTCTAATTTTAAAAAATTATAGCCATCTTTGTATATGTGAAGTGGTACCTCACTGTGACTTTTATTTCCATTTCTCTAATGACAAATAATGTTGAGCATTTTTCATGTGCTTTTTGGCTGCTGTATATCTTCTTTGGAGAAATGTCTATGTACATCCTTTGCTCATTTTTTAACCGGCTTGTCCTCTGTTGCCTTGTAAGAGTTCTTTATATATTCTGGATACTAGACCTCCACTAGATACTTGATTTCAAATATATTCTCCCATTCTGTAGGTTGTCATTTCACATTCTTGATGACATTCTTTAACAAAAGTTTTTAACATTGATGATGTCCAGTTTACATGTTTTTTTTTCTTTGTTGCTCCTGCTTTTGGTATCATATGTAAGAGTCCATTGCAAATCCAAGTCATGAAGATTTTCTCCTGTTCTAAGAGTTTTATGGTTTTAGTTCTTACAATTAGATCATTGATTCATTTTTCAGTTAGTTTTTGTACATGGTGTGAGGTAGGAATCTAGCTTCATTTTTTTTTGCGTATGGATATCTAGTTGTCCCAACACCATTTGTTGGAGAGACTTCTTTCACCAGCTGCTTTTGGACATTGCTATAACCTACCCTATGGCAGTCAGTAGCTACAACTGCAGTGCAACAACTCCATTGCTATATAGTTCGCAGTTCTAAAAGGTAATAGCCTTGTTCTCATCTCTCTTGTCACATACCTAAAGGGGAGTCCGTGCCATCTAGTTAGGATAGAGCTCCCCAGGGTGAACAGAGAGGATAGGTGTCAATATAGTGATGGTTTCTCGCTGTCAGAGAGCTTTTTCCCTCCAAGTAACTTCAGACAAGTATGTGAAAAGTGCATTGTCCAGGTAGAAAAATGAGACTTAGAACCCCAGCCAAAAATAATCTTTATCATATTTCTTTCCTGGGAAACTGCCCTGGCAATTTTCACCCATATGTTATTGGTCAGAAAGGTCCCAAAAGGCTACCATTAGCAACAAGTGAGTCTGGGGAAGTTAGTATTTTGCCTTCTAGCCTCTAGAGAAGATAGGGGAGGAGTTGATTGGGAAGGAACACACAGTGGGCCATACTATAATCCGCCACAGGGACAGGCATGCCCAAGTGTGTTTACAACCTCTTACTATTTGTGTGCCTAGTAAATAAATTCAAAGTTAAGTTGATCTGTTATTCTACCGTCAAATAAGCTCTTGTTAAGATTCTCTAATACAAGAGGCGCCTGGATGGCTCAGTTGGTCGAGTGTCTGCCTTTGGCTCAGGTCATGATCTTGGGGTCCTGGGTTGGAGCCCCCCCACCCCGAGCAGGGGGCCTGCTTCTCTCTCTCCCTCTGTCTGCCGCTCCCCCCTACTTGTACTCTCTCTCTAATAAATGGGTAGAGTCTTAAAAAAAAAAAGAGAAAGATTCTCTAATATGAGCATACCATAGTTTTTAGTCAATAAAGGCTGGATTTAATATATTTACATCTGTCCTCATGGTTAAAACTCGGACTTTTCTTCTAACTTTCTCAGGAGAGATAGAAAAGGCCCTGGAAATGGGGATGAGGGTAAAAGCTCCAAACTGCTCCTGTCTCTTCTATTTAGAAACATGAAAAAATTAAAGATGTATTAGCATTCATCAATGCATTCAATAATGTAATTATTATATGCTGGGATGCTAAGACTTGAATTTCCAAGCCTGAATTATATTTGTGGCTTTGCCATGCACTAATCGTATAATGTCAGACACTGCACTTTGACTTGATTGAAAACCATTTTCATATACATTGTCACTGAATTCTAACACCTATTAGGTGGAGCGGTAAGCGAAGAGGGTAAGGTCACTCAGCTAGGGTAAGTGGCAAAGCTGGGATTATAAACCAGGTTGTAGCTGATGCTCAAGTATGTGCTTTTCTCCACTATAGGGGTGTGACTAATACCTAGAAATAATTTGTGTGTTGTATTTATCAGGTAACAACTGTAACAACTTCCTTTCCCACACATCACTGAGATAGATGGGGTCCCAAGGGCTCACATGGATACAAAATGCCTTCAGATGTGAGAATGCTCATGTGAGGAAGAGCATACTAGTGGCTGGATCTGTTTAATGTGTGCACTGTAGTACAGTTAGTTCTGTCATACAGGGGGGCTGCTGAGACCAGAGCTTGATGTAAATAGCCTGCCTCTTTATGAGAACCTGTGAGGGGGAGGGGTCAAACATAGGAGAAAACGGGAGCTTCAGGAAGTGCACAGGGTTCTGTTTCCTGAACAGAAAAGAGCAAAATCCAAGGGATTTCTAAGGAAAAATGACAGGTGACAACTAGTTGAGGCTGATTTGAATGAGGGGAGTGGTTCTGAGTTGAAGCCTAAAAACCCAGGGTCCACACACACACACACACACACACACACACACACTGATTTCTCCAAGAACCAAAGTTACTGAGAGAAATCCTCAGCCTGAGCTCAGGTTTCTGTTACATTCTGTATAAAGGCCAAACTCTTTTTTTTTTTTAATATTTTATTTATTTGAGAGAGAAAGAAAGAGAGCACAAGCCGGGGAGGAGCAGAGGGAGAGGGACAAGCAGACTCTGCACTGAGCACGGAGCCTGACATGGGGCTCGACCCCAGGACTCATGAGGTCATGACTTGAGCCAAAACCAAGAGCCAGACCCTTAACTGACCAAGCCACCGAGGCGCCCCAGGGCCAAACTCTTCAGAATCACATCATTAGGTAGGGTCTTCATGGTCTCACTCTTGACAACCCTTCTAAGCTCTTCCACTTTCTTATATACACACTGGATTCCAACCCCAAACCCAAAATTCCTCAGGTGCTAATTTTGCGTTTTCATACCTGTGTTTGGCTCTGTTTCTCTGCTGAAGTGCTTTTGTCCATCCAATAAATTGTCTTTACAAGTGTCAGCCTTTGCACATTGCACTGATTCTGGCCCCCAGACCATGCTGCCTTACGGTAGCATCTTGTATCTATGTTACAGTGGTTGCCACCTTGCACTAGGATGATCTGTCTCTGTGTATGTGGATCTGGCTCTGTCAGATACTGTCATTTGGCTCATTCAACAT